AAAAAAAAAAAAAAAAACGCCCTGCAGCGAAGTCGCGTCGCTGATTGGCCGGTGGTTACCCGGATCTGCAGATCTTTCGCCAGCAGTCCAAAACATGTCACCTAAGGGCAGCTTCTCAGAGGAAGCCCTGGCCCTCAAAAGGGGCTAATATAGGGGCGTTAATAGTTAGAATAGGGTTTGGGGGGTATAATGGGGAACCCCGGTAAAATTATTTAGGCCCCTATATGATCATCTTTTGAAATATCGAATCAGCCCTGAAGCCTCCAGCAAAAACAGAGGGCTCTCAAGATCAGGCAGCAGTCGGCTTAGGTTTAGGCGTTGGGGGTTAAGTCGGTTAGGTTTAGAGTTTAGATTAGAGTTTAGAGTCTAGAGGTTAGGGTTTCGGGTTTGCGGTCCGGATTTTGGCATAGATGCCGCAGATTGTTGCTGGTACCCCTCCCTTAGATTTCGCCCTTGCGCGCCCGTTCCAGTTGGGGTTGCTGGCAATACCAGTTGCATCAATACGCTCTTGCTGTTTGCTGTTGCTGCTTCCTTCCATGACTGTGGCCATTGTTGTGCTGCGAATTCCGCCCTTGTCGCTGTGGTGGTCACTACTGTCACTACTGGTGCCCCTGCTATCCCTATCCCTGTACTCGTAACGAATTGAGAGGAGCCAGGTGTGAAACTGGTCGTCATCGTCATCACAATGGTCGCTTCGATAGCGATCGCATCTATGACACGACAGCCCAACTCTGACCATGAGTGATATCTTCGAAACTGATGTCCTCTCTGGTGGCCTCTATGGGCCAACAGCTTCAGGTGAACAGCAAAACTGTGTGTGAGACCCTACAACCCTGGACTCTGAAACCACACCGCATCAAAGATCGCCCGCCCGACGCCCAGTTGCCATAGTTATGAATCTGGGCAACCAAGTTCGGAAGCCCATGATCGCGAAAAGCACCCTGCAACCCTCAGGTGCAAGTTGCCGAACCACGTTTTCAACGGGTACTTGTTGGTGAAGAACCTTCCACGGCTCAGTCGGAATCTGGGCCATGTAATAAACATCACAGTAACAATAACAATATTACTAACACTAACGAAAATAATAACAATAATAACAACAATAGCAAGAATAATAACAATAACAATAGCAACAACATTAATAATAACAATAACAATAGCCATAACACTAACAATATCAATAGTAACAGAAATAACAATGATAATGACAACTATCGTAATAGTAATAGGCATCTTTGACCCCGAAGCCCGTGAGTCCTGAAAACTCACGTCCAAGTCACCCAAAGCTGCAAATCTACCAAACCAAACCCGGGATCACTCACCTACATGGGGAGCTCTAAACTGCCCTAAACGTTAAACCCTAATCTGCTCTGACCCTCAAACACCGGGCTCGAAACTGCAGGGTTCATCTTGTAAGCAGCTAACACGAAAACTCGAAAAGGGTCCATAGTCTTAAGAGCGACTGAACTAGTACTACGGTTGGTGATATGAATCCGGCATTACCCAGAATAGGGAATATACCATGCTTCCCATAGCTTAGGGTCCTTGGGGTAATGCAGGATTTCTATCATCAAAAGTAGTAGCCAGTGCTGTCCCCATTAATTACACTAAGACCGCAAGGAGAGATCCCGAAAACTGCATTCAGAAACCTAAACGCTAGTGTGTAAACCCAGTTCGGGGCGCCCAAACAGGCTTTAGGGTTTGCATATGTTTGGATCTTCAGGGCGTTTAAAAGTTTAGGGTTTAGGGTTTAGGGGTTAGGGGTTTAGGGTTTAGGGTTTAGGGTTTAGGGTTTAGGGTTTAGGGTTTAGTTTAGTTTCAGGACGTCGGGGGCGTGCGTAAATAAAGACACGCCGAACCAGCAAGTTGAGCCCTTTTTCCAAGACATGAGCTGCCACTACACCCTAAGCCCCAAGCCCAAAGCCAACATGAATTGCAGGCTTGGGGCCTAGGATGCTGTTTTGACTTACCCTTGATGATTCTCTGAGCGTGGCCTTGTGGTTGCTTTTGCTGTTCTGAACTATCATAGTCATAACATTTCATAACGATTACTCTGTTCAGTGTTAATCGACTAACACATGGACAATCGTACGATCAAAGTAAGGTCTTTGAGGGGAGCGTCGCTGGAGCATGGGCTTGAAGTGCCTCGCCAACCAGTCGTACTTTGCGGAAAGAGATCACAAGACTCTACCAGTAGTGCTTTGCTTGCATCTCTGCCTGTAGCCAGCCTCAAAACCCTACAGGGAAACCCAGAAAGTTGGAACATGGGTTTAGGACGACTAGTGCTAGGATCCCTTATGATTTGCCTCAAGGGCATGAGGACGATAATACTCCAACTTTATAGCTTCTACTATAAACCCCCTGACTTTAAAATTCTAAACTTTTTGGAGCAAGTCACTCGAGAGGGCCTTGCTCCCCGCCGTTGCAGAGGTCCTGTCTAGGTTTGAAGGGCTTTCGGCTTGGAGGATTCGGGCGGCAGGATTTTAGGATTGGGGGATTTGGGATTTAGTTGAGGTTTGGGCCGATGGGGTTATTGCTTACTGGCGCTGCTGCTGCCATCTTGTCCAGGGGTTTAGAATTTGTAGTATGAAGTCCCTAAGCCCTAAACCTTAATCCCCAAAACCTGAACCCCTAAACCCTATAAACCCCTAAACCCTAATCCTTCAACTCTTAAAAATCGTGTTCGTCCTCAGGGTCTGGGACTTGGGTTTCCTCAAACAGAGCTGAAGAGTTGAAGCTCTTTGCCTGTTCAGGGTTGATGCTGCCTTCACATCAAGAATTTAGAGCTTAAGGTTCAGGGTTTTAGGGCTTCGGGTTCAGGGCAGGGTTTGATTTAGGGCTTAGGGTGGAGCAGGGCTTAGGATTCAGGGGCTTCCTTCGCATCGAGGGTGTCTGAAGCTCTCCACTTCAACCGCAGGAAGAAGGACTGGTGCCGATACCCCTTAACTAAGAAATGTACCTCAAATCATAATACTAAGGCCCCTACATTTTAAGGTATGTTCCTTATTTGAGGGGTAGGGCTCTCTAGGTTGTGCTCGACGAAGGCACCTTCAACCCTAAACCCTAAGCCCTAAACCCAAAACCCTAAACCCAGCGACGAAGGCACCTTCAACCTCTGTTGCAGTTGTCGCAGCATGTCCGCGCAACTAACGGACGAAGGCGATGGTGCCGGCGAGGTCAAAGCCGCTCATCCGAGTTTTAGGTCCAGAGAGCCCAATACCCCCCAAATATGGAATATACCTTAAATTATAGGGGCCTGAATAGTCTGATTTAAGGTATATTCCTTAATTAAGGGGTATTGGGCTCTCTGGAGGGTTTGAGGGTTTGGGGTGCAAGATTCAGGGTTTAGGGCAGTAGGGTTTTAGGGCTTGTTGTTCGGGTTTAGGGTTTGGGGTTTTAGGGTTTAGGGTTTGAGGGTTTGGGGTTCAGGATTGGGGGTTTAGGGTATTAGGGATTTAGGGCTCCCAGAGAGCCCAATGCCCCTTAATTCAGGAACAAACCGTAAATCGTAACATTAAGGCCCCTATAATTTAAGGTATATTCCTTGTTTAAGAAGGGGTATTGGGCTCTCTGGGAGGGTATTGGCGCGGACATGCTACCAACTGCTAAAGAAATTGAAGGTGCCTTCGTCACTGGGTTCAGGGTTTAGGGCTCAGGGTTTAGGGCTTTAGGGTTTTACGGCTTGTTGTTCGGGGTTTTGTGGTTGAGTGTTCAGGGCCCGCAACCCCCTCACCCGTTAGTTCGATCATCTCTCTCCGAACCCCAAACCCTAAACTCCTACATTCCAAAAAACCGTTAGCACAACGCAGCACTCCGTAAATCCAGCCCTAAACACCCAACCCCTTAAAGCCAGAACACTAAACAGGGCAAGCCACCCTTGCTAAACAAAAACCTCCAGAAGTCGATAGCTGATAAACACAACCTCTAAACCCACATAAAGCCCCCGGCCTCCTCGGAGTTGTCCACGAAGCCGCCTTGGGCTTTCGGGCTTTAGGTCTTCAATTTATAAAGGTAGGGCTCAGTGTAGGGGCCTTAATCTGTAAAGCGTTGCTTTATTTGGAAATCTAAGAGGGTTCACTTAGGGTTACAATAAAGATGTAGGGGCCTTATAAAATTTGTTTCGGGGTGTATCGTACTATAACTGTAGTAGGAGCCGTGCGGAAGTGTATTGGTACTTTATCCAGGCACCCTAAACCCTAAACCCCCTAAACCTTAAACCAACTAAAACCCCTA